TGGTTCGACTTTTAAGATATTCGAGTTCTAATGAATTTTAGAACTGAGATACCACTGTATACGGTTATAATAAATACAGCATATCGCTATCAAGCTAAATGTATATTAATAATCTAATAAATCTTGTCAAATATACTATCCAGCTAAATGTAAACGATTTTATAATTAATAAAAACATACATTTTTTAAAACATTCGTAAATGTATAGTTTCAAAAACACTGGTCGAAAGTGGTGAAGACCCACCTCTTCTCTGCCTTTGGCTCTGACTCGAGGGAGAAAAAAAAAAACAGCCCTGTGAAATGTTAGGCACACCAGTGAGACCAAGGACAGTTTTTTTTGGTCACATGTGCAACCAAATTGGTCACGCTCTGGAGCCCTGTAGTATTGTTATAACAACAGAACAAAGTGGCATGCGCCAATAACACACTGCTTGCATGTTCAGAGGCTGGTGTGAAACAAAGCTATTTCAGCCTGCATAAAATTTCAGCACTGTCTATATTTTACTTTGTTTTTTTATCCGTCTCAGTCCTCAGTTAATGAGTAGATGTTGAACTAAAAACTTTGATGTTTTCTAATCAGTTAACTTGGTAATTTGTTAAAACATATATAAAATAGTTTGGTTTGTAAACAAAAAACAATAATAGAATATGTATTATGATGCCACCTGTGCATATTGGTCAGTTTTAGACTGGTTTATTTCATATCTTACAGAACTTTTCCAGTCAGTATTGGTCACTTTTTTATCATCTGCAGTTGCTGAGTATGGGGTCCCACAGGTTTTCATCTTGGGGCCAATCCTTTTCTTGTACATTCTCCCTTTGGGGCTTATTTGTAAATTTAATTTTCTTTTCACTCTTAAGCAGCTAATATGGAGGACGAAACATGACATAATCATAAATAAACTAATCAATAAAAAATAAATTCCTAGATTCTTAGAAAAATAAATTGTTTTTCATTACAAAGATTTATTTTTATTTTTTATTATTCCAGATTTTAATTCATCTGTATGTAAATGAGTTGGGCAGCCCTAACTTTTTCTGAGCAAGTTTGTGCACTATGTGCCGTGGTGTGTCCACAACAACTAATCAGTTTCACTTCTCAAATACACTAATCATTCTCCAATATGCTTTTGATTTTTCATAGCTATAGGTATTCAAGTAGACTGTATACAAGTACACTGTACTTGTAACCATGACAATAAACTTTGAACTTTATTCAACAACCCACAATGACGACTACTGTCAAAATCATTATGATTCCTTTGCTTTTTCTAGTCCTGGATAATCGTGTATCTTACCTGCATTTCCTACACATCTTTTGCATGAAAACATGCTATACAAATAAACATGAATTAGTCAGCTTGAGATGTTAGGGACAATGATATAAAGCAGGATTAGAGGCAAAACAACACAAATGTCACGTCAGGACGGCATGCATAACGATGCACTCAAATGACAAGAGGAATCTTTAGAATAAAAATGTAATGTATTTTTCTATAAATCCTTGGAATGAAAAATGAAATACATCTATTTTACTATTGATCTATTGATTTAGGATGGTGGATGGCTAATAATTTCCTTTTTCTTAATGAAAATAAATTCAAAGTCATTTTATTTGGTCAGCATACTAATTAATACCTTAACCCAGAAAATTGGTTGGGTATCCTCGTACGTAAAAACAACTGCCACATGCTTGAGTATCTCAGAACAGGCAGATAAAGTCAATCGTTAAAGTTTTTTTTTTCCACATTGTGATCTGGAGAAGGTTTTTCAAGCATTAATTTCTTCTCATTTCGATTATTGTAATCGTCTGTATGTATGTGTCAGCCAGCAGCTCCGTCTGGTTTACAATTGGTACAAAATGCTGCTGCTACTCTATGTACTGGTACTAAAAAGGGGGGTCATATCTCCTCAGTTTTAGCCTCACTTAATTGAATTGGCTTTAGTATTCAGGATTAGGTTTAAAATTTTACTGTTTCAGTTTAAAGCTCTTAATGGGTTGGCCCCAACACACATTGCATACATTGCACCCGTTTAAAGACTACTGGAGATTGTGCTTTTGCAGTATGTGCCCCAGCCAGATGGAACTACCAGTGAATATTAATTCAGCACAGTTGATTTGACTTCTTTTGAAACAAGACTGAAAACATATTTTGACTCATTGTTGGTTACTTGTTGGTTATTTTGTGATTTTTTTTTTTTTTTTTGGATTTATTAGGGATCGAAGCACGTAGTGCTATGGACCACAGTTGTTTTTGTTAGGATTTGTTACTATTTTTCTTCCCTAAAATGAAATGGGCAGCCTAAACCGTTACATCTAGACCTACCAAATTTGGTGGGAAGATGTCAATTCCTATACACTACTCTGACCATTTGACCCAAATCAGGCAGTCAATGTGGGCACAGTAGTGTCCCCTTATATGTTTATGGTGATATCTCCTGACCCGTTAGTCCTAGAGTCAAAATTCTTTTTTTCCCGAGATACAGGGGGTCATGCCCTACCAGTCCATCTACACGGTTAAGCTCAGTCTTAGTTTTTAGCTAATTTGCATAATTTCCTAAACATATTTTGGCAAACCTGTCCAACCTCTTCTGTCCAAATCAGATAAATGTGGTGTCGGACCAATCAAACCCCTGTGCTGATCAATAACTATAAAAAGACATTTGTCTACCACACCGCCACTATCCATGCCCAAACTGAACCTTTATAATTGCTAATTATAATAATTGATACTTTATTGATCCCCGTGGGGAAATTTTTACGCCTCCCTCAACTTGCTCTTTATCAGGCCTATTTTAACCAGACAGCTATAACTTGGCGATGCCTTGTCCTACCTCAACCAAATTTGAAATCCTACCTCCCAGCACTATTCTGGTAAAGCAGTAAAAGACTGGCCACATTTGTCATTAGGGGGTGCCGCAGCTAAACACTGCCCACATCTTCTGACATCCTTGGCCAATCCAAGTGAAATTTGGCACATATGTACTATGACCAAGTCAGGCATATACTTTTGCAGTCATATATCATAAAACCCCGGCCACCATCAGCCAATCAAAATCAAGCAGCCATTACACAGGCCTAACAATCACCAATCCGAATCAAAACTGGATGATCCATTTCTCTACAGACCCTCAGCCTGCCCTGGCAAGGGCACCCAGTGTTAATTTCATCAATGAAAAGTTTGACGATAAGTATTCGTTGACTACCTTTTATTTCATGATTAAATTGTAACGACGACTTACATGAATAAATGGTTGATAATGAAAATTTAGATGAAATCTTTGTTCGTTATGCTGTGACAAGTAAAGACAAGACAAAATTGCTGGCTCTGTTTGGGTAGACAGTCTAAATCACAGTAGCCATCTCAAAGCATTGGTTGTTATTCTTTTTAATTAATCATTCACATATGCATAAATCTGCAAATGCACATACCAATTCTTACTGTCTCCATGCATCTTTCTCATGGATAATTTGTTTTTCCTGCTTGGTACATGTCTGATCAATTGCCACCTTTCAGTATAATGCTAACTTCACACTACACGGGTTTAGCCCCAATTTTTCATTCGCTGAATCGGTGTGCGTTTGGCGCTGGCAAATCAGCACTCGATTGCTATTTGTGAACTGTTTTCAATGCAACCCAACAGAGTCGCCGATGTGTTGCAGACACCCATCAGATATCTAGCAGGCTAAATATTTGGACCTGCCAGCGACTCCAAATTCTGCTGATATGAAAGGTGCTGCGACTGGCAATGAGTCTGGCAAAGAGCCACAGCCGAGGAGAGCACAAACAGGGGTTGAGGTTACACCCAAGGGTGTAAAAAGTTCATTTTGTTTAGAAACAGTTCTTAGTGTTCAGGGACATACACGTGTGCAAGGGTCATCTTGGAGAGAAGTATCTTCCTGAAACCAGACTGAGATGAGTAAACAGAAGGAAAGACACATAAGCTTAATGCTTAGTCCTAAGTGCCACACTAATGTCCCTTTTTTGTCATTTCAGCAATTTTACTTATGTAATTTCTGTTTTTGAAGATGGGTTATTGTAAATCGTGAGGTTTTGCACATGGTTAAATGCCCTGCCCCACACACAGGAACTTTAATGACATTCCTTTCTTAATACATATCAGAATACTTATCAGATACTGTTCAATGAAGAATTTGTAACCCTTGTCTAGTTTGGACCGTTTCGTTAGGGAAAATATGTCTGTAATCCTTTTAACATCTTCCAGCTGTACTTGTGGCAGATGCTCTAAAGACTTGGTGAACTCCATGAAAAAGTATTATTCTCACCTTTACAGTTTCTTTTTTAAACTTGATTGGCATTTAGCTTTCTTTTATTCCAGTATTACAGTGCAGCACTAAGGGTAAACTGGAAATGAAGATAACCTGCTTTGAATCAGAACGGAAGATGTCATTGTGAAAAGGGTCTATATGCAACAAAGTCTAAGTTTACACAGACAGCATAAAAAAGCTTAACCTGTAAGGTCTAGATTTACTACATTAGGTAGGAAGGTGTTTCTTCCTACCCACTACTCAGACCATCTGACCCAAACCAGACGTTCAATAAGGGGCGGCACCACACCACAGGTTTCTACATTATGTCCTTTATCACCTGACCCATTAACCCTGGACTCAAATCTCCATCCTGTCACAGCAGTATTTACTACCGTCAGACTTTTTAATATATTGGTCAAAAGTGACAGTAGTCCATATTCCATCAGTACTGATATACTGCTTTTATGCCGTGGATGATGTTCTGACCCTTTGGATCCCTCAATCCCTGCTTGCAGTTATATTTATTTTTATTTTTGAGTGTTATTGCATTTTTTGGTATTCTGTACAGCACTTTGGCTGACACATGGTGTCTTTTAAATGTGGTTTATAAATTGGGATTGATTGATCTATTTCATGGATCGTAATTTGACATTTTTCCCATAATGCCCACCCCTAGTTTCTAGATCAATTCTGCAGTGTTTACTTTTTATTTGTGCTGTTTTTGTAGAAGACTGCTCCCATTAAATCTCAGGCAGATGTGAAGAAATTGCCTCTAGAAGCCAGCTTGAAGACTGCAAGTGAGAGTAACCCACAGGTGATACAGCTTTCCTTGGTGTATTTTGCTGGTATATGTTTGAGTGTGTTGAAATGTCAGGTTATTGTAGTTTAAAGAGAGAGAGAGAGAGAACCTTAACTTTTTTTCCCTCAACCTTTACAAACAAAATATTTCAAGAAATAAGAATCAGAATCGAATTAATCTGACGGTCACTTTTTTCTAATAGGGTCCGATTCCTGAGTATTTGTTTCTCATGCAAAATAAGTTGTATCAGTTTTATCACTATCAGCTCCAGTAATTGTATTGTAGTGTAGTAAATATGTGTGTGTGTGTGTGTGTGTGTGTGTGTGTGTGTGTGTGTGTGTGTGTGTGTTTTACTCAGGGCACCAGGGTGGTACGGCCCCGATCTCCCCCTCTTCCAGCGATGATAAAGAATGCCCCCAGCCGGCCACCCCTCAGCAAGCCCCCTCCCCTCAGCAGAAAGCCCAATACCCCAACCCGGACAGCAAAACCCCCAGTGCCAGCACCTGCACCTCCTACTCCTCCACCCCCTACCGTCCGCAGGCAGGAGCCCCTGGCCAAGGCCCGGCCAGCTGCCAGCCCCAGGATCCCGGTTTCTAAAGTCAAATCAGGTGGTAGGATGGGGGCCGTGCGCTCTCCAAGGGTAGGTGACATCCATTACCCTGTATGTGTTTCTACTTTTGGGTCACCATTTGTTGCCAATTACTTTATGGTCTCAGTGTGCTTTTGGTAGATGCTGAACTGTTTTAATGTGTTTAAATGGATGGGGAATACATATGTTTCATGTCTTGTTGGTGCTAAAACTATGTTCTGTAAATATTATTATGGATCTTTTTCACATTTTGCTGGCACATTGTATAGGTGATGTTCTGGAACCTAATTCATTTGGAGAGACATTGCACCAAAACTGAAGAAATATCACTTACTTGTGCACATGAAAAAACAACCACAGATGCTGATCTGGGGTCGGTATTGCAAAGCTGTTTCAGTGAAGTCAGGTGTCAAAGATAAGTTCCAGCTTGAATAAATCAAATAAGTGCAATCTGAGAAAACCAGTACAATGACATTATCAGCAATCTGTGTCAAGCCAGGTTTTCCTACTGAAACCATGATTACTTTCCAAGCATGAGCGCTTAAAGTATACCATGTACAACAATCAGCCAGTCGCATAAGCATGGATTGCAGCAGGGCTGCAGTGGAACAGAGAATTATTGTAAAATGATGATGGTAATGGCAAAGACCAACACTGTGGCTCCCACCAAAGCTAGAATGGCTTGCTGACAGTGGATTGCTGATAGCGTAAATGTATACCTACAGTTTGATTGTCGTTAAGATAACCAAACATGCTTTGTGGCTTTTGTAAATATTCTTAATCTTGTTATTCAAAATCATGGGGTGTGCTGTAGTCGTTATCCACTCAAAATGCTGGACCAATATCTCGTTATAGTGAAGATTGCCTATTTCGAAACAAAGTGCTTGAAATGAAAAAATTATCGGTGTGCATCTCTGCCTATGGACATGGTCCATGATTTAAAAACATGCTTGTTGTAAGACAGAAGACAGAATATCGACTATACAGCTAACTTTCACAGCCACAGTATTTTCATGGACAAGCCATATTTGACTTTGGGAAAGCCCATTGTGATGTATCGATTTCTTCTCCAAGTGCCGTTTGAGATCTATGATCCTGAAACACAACCTGCTGTGGAGCAGTTTTACTCTGTAGCATGAGTTTCCGTGGTGATGTGTCCTATAAGAACCAGTGTTGTGATATCGCTACTTAGCATCAAAGTTATCTGGCTATGCAAGGAATCTGGCTTTTTTATACAAATCCCTGACAAATCAGCTTTCATTGAAACAAGTGACACAAAGTTGGGTTTTCAATAAAGTTTCTTTGGAGAAATGAGGACAATGTGTAAAGGTTGTTGGGTGTGGAAGAAATAGGAATTAGATGGGAGTAGGCAGCGTGACTGGGCTATCTGGGCAATACATTCTGACAGCATCTTGATGTTATTGTTATTACTACTGAAAATGTGTTTCAGAAAAATCTGCATGCATATGTAGACCCAACTTCTAACTGAATAAATTTGTAATAATTCTATTGATTATTGAGATATTGATTACAATAAATTGTCACCTGTTTTATAAACTTTTTCGCCAGTGAATTAACTTCTCAATTACTGTCTTATTAGAGAAAGCCTAGACAAGCAATGTTTATTTAAATTAATCGTTTTAACAGCAGTGGCTGGAAAATGCTCCTATTTATCATCTTTCCCTATTTTTGTAGATTATCTTAAATTTTTCTTGATGGTTCTCAATTTTTACAATAGTAAAACAATAGTATTCACACAACTCCTGTAAAAATATAAACGGTGTCTGTTTTTGTCACCCTTTCACACCCAGGGGGCAACCAAACAGACCCCAACCACAAGTAGCCAGCGCAAGAGAGTTACAGACGGTATGCGTGAGGATGGTGAGGATGAAGAGGACGGAGAGCCACAGCTAAAAAAAACGAAGATGACACTGGATAAATCGAGCAAACCAGTCGTAAAGAAACAGGAGGTGAAAAAGGGGAAGGTGACAGAGGTGCGGGCGCAGACTGCAGAGGGCAGCGTGGTCATGGAGGTACAGTAATCTTTCAGTATGCAGCGTACACATCATCCCACCCACCTGTCTACACCTCAGTGTTTATCCTTCAGCCTGAATGTGCGTACAACCCCATTTCCAAAAAATTTGGGATACTGTATAAAATGTAAATAAAAACAGAATGCAATGATTTACAAATCACATAAACCCATTTTTAATTGAAAATAGAACAAAGACAACCATAGTAAATGTTGAAACCAAGAAATTGAATTGTTTTTTGACAAATATATGCTCAATTTGAATTTAATACCAGCAACACATTTCATAAAAAGTCCTTTTTTAACACTCTGTAAACGTTTGGGAACTGAGGAGATCAGTTGCAGGAGTTTTGAATGTGAAATGTTGTCCCATTCTTGCCAGATATAGAATTTCAACTGCTCAAAAGTTCGGGGTCTCCTTTGTTGTGTTTTTCAATACATGATGCGGCCAATGTTTTCAGTGAGTGACAGGTCTGGACTGCAGGTCTACATACTTCCTCACCTCATTCAAAAACAGAAAAGTGGTGCTGTTTGTGTGGAGTTAACACCCACAATAAAAAATGATGTGTGCTTAGAGTTTTTATACAGAAATTAATATGCATCTCAATAGTGCTTATTTAATTTAGCGGATGTTAATGCTACATAAACTACTATGTATAATGAGAAAAGCATTATTGAAATGTAATTAATTAATATTACAACCCCATTTCCAAAAAAGTTGGGACACTGTGTAAATAAAATAAAAACAGAATGCAGCGATTATCATGATGCACCAAATGTTTTCAAAAGATGATAGGTCTGGACTGCAGGCAGGCCAGTCTAGCACCCAGAATCTGCTAATACGAAGTCCTTCTGTTGTAATACATGCAGAATGCAGTTTGGTATTGTCTTGCTGAAATCTACAAGACCTCCTCTGAAAAAGACATGGCCTGGATGGCTGCATATGTTCCTCCAAAACCTGTATTCATCACTCAGAATTAATGGTGACTTCCCAAAAGCTACCCAACCCATGGGCTCTAATGCACCCCCATACCATTAAGGATGCTGGCATTTGAATTGTTCGCTGTTAAAAGCTGGATTGTCCCTTTCCTCTTTAGCTCAGAGGATGCGGTGTCCATGAGTTCCAAAAAGAATTTTAATTTTTTTGATTTATCAGACTGCAGGACAGTTTTCCATTTTGCCTCAGTCCATCTTAAAGAGCTCGGGTACAAAAAAGTCGTCAGCATTTCTGGATCATGTATAGATATGGTTTCTTCTTTCTATGGTAAAGATTTATCCTGTTCACAGACAATGATTTTCGGAAGTGTTCCTTAGCCCCTGCACCGATTTCCACTAAAATCTTGTACGGTTTTAAAGCAGTGCCGCCTGAGTACCTGAAGATCATGGCTATCCAATAGTGGGTTTTGGCCTTGTTCCTTGCATACAGAGATTTCTCCGGATTCTCTGAATCTTTTAGTGATATAATGTCACATACATGATGAAATTGCCAAATTCTTTGCAATATTACATTGAGGAACATTGGGCCTCATTCACCAACCGTTCTTACGAACAAATTTGTTCTTAAACCCCACATATACACTTTTTTACAAAGATTCTGACATTCACCAATGTTTTCTTATCTTAATTTGTTCTTAGCTAAGAACAGAATCTACGCACATTCAAGACCATTCGTACACACATTTCAGTAATGATAGTTTGTTATAATCGCTTATAGCAGTTTTGTTTATTCTACAGTTCATAAAATGATAGTATTTGAATAATTTATAGAAGTAAAATATAAAAAATAATTTGTGTAAAAATTATTTTCATGGTAGTAACGGTGATCATGCAGATTATAAATAGGTCTGTTTCTGCGCATTGGCCTTGCTATCAAAATGGCATTTCTGTTACTTCTTGAAGAGCTTGCCAATCGTGCTCTGAGAAGGTAACGCATGTTTGAAGATCATTTAGATTTATTTGGCACGCAGCGTTCACAGAGAAGGTGATATCTGTCCATGTATCAGCTTTCTTGGGGGCTTTATATGCACTGGTTACACTACTAAATAACGTGTGTCTATTTGCATTTACCTCCTGTACAGTAAAATCCAGTTATAACGGACTTCAAGGGACTTGGCAAAACAGTCTGAGTTGCTGTATGCCCAGAACACAACTACAGGACACCATTTACTCATGCCACACCCCAGCAGACACACTTGTGGTATAAATTATTATATTGTACATGTAGTAATCCAACTTTACCTGAGCAGATGCATGACTATTAATAATCACGACTCCGTATCTGCACTGGATATCACCAGCACGCCATGCGCTTTGCCGGTGGAGCCTGTATGTCCGTTATAGCCGTACAAAACTACAGCTAAAAGCAGCCCTGGTGACTAAATTGTTTGTCCGTTTATAAGCGAAATTCCGTTATATGTGAGTCCGCTATATCCCATGCTTTTTCTGCATGTTCTTAAAGGCCCACGGCTGGCACCAGCGGACCTCGTCCTTTATAGACGATATTCTGTTATAAGTGAGTCCACTATAACGGGATTTTGCTGTATTAATACTTATACTCCAGCATTACTGAAGTTTTTTTTCTTCTTGGTGCCAAGCGGCTCTCAGCCTGCGCGTCTCTTCACCATTCCTTGCACACGGCCCTACAGTCTCATGCCCTTGCAGGGCGTTTCCCTATGCTAATTAGGACAAACTGGCACGCGCTTTCAGTTATGAAGATGTGGGATTCACCATTCTTAACAAAGGTGCAAACAATTCTGCTACTTAAGAACACGTCATGAATCCGATGTAGGTTCTTAAATTTCATAGGAACAAATTAAAGAGAATTCTTAAGAAAATATTGGTGAATGAGGCCCATTATTCTTAAATTGTTACACTATTTGCACACACAATCTTTCACTGAGTGGTGAACCTCTTCCTATCTTCACTGCAGAGGCTCTGCCTCTCCTCTGGGTGACTCTTTTCAGTTGTGAGATATTCAGCCCTGTTTTGTTTTAGCATTACACAACTTCCAATCTTTTGTTGCCCCCTGTCCCAACTTTTTAAATGTGCTGCTGGCTTCAAATTCAAACTCAAATTCAAAGTCATTTGTCAAAAAAAAAATATATATTTTCAATTAAATATGGGTTTTTGTGATTTGCAAATCATTGCATTCTGCTTTTATTTACATTTTATGTAGCATTGCAACGTTTTTGGAAATGGGGTTGCATTTTTACAATATTCTTTTTAACTGAATAATCTTACAAGCTTATTTACAGTACTGTGCGTAAGGCCTAGGTTGCCAAACAAAATGTATATGTACTGTAAGTGTGCATTTTCTCAAAATACTAATTAACATCGTAATAAACAGGTAATCATGAAGAATAAATAGAAACAAGCATGTATTGTTTTCAAACAAAAGGAACATGTGCAATTAAGTCTTTTGGAAAATGTAAGGACTAGTGTTTGCACCCATCCCATATATTGTGGAATTTGCATGTATTGAGAAACCTAAAATGCTAGTTTATAACCACTAAAGAATACAGATTATACTGAACAGGAAGACTTTAAAGAGGCTCAGAATAGTGAACTGCTAACAAATCAGGGCTGTTTTATCCTTCTGTTCGAACTGTGTTTAGATTTGCTTCATAGTTCTAGGTGTTGGGATTGACTCCCCCAGCCCCCCCACCCAGTACATTTTTTCATTGTGCAACCCAGAGGAGAGGTAGGGGGTGGTCTCCCTTATTTCTTGAAATTGAAAGCTGCAACTTTAGTGAGGATTAATAGCTTGATCTACAAAGGCGTATGTCTCCAGTTAGTCAGACATAATGACACCGTGACTAAAAAACCACGACAGTCTGAAGCGAGAGGCTGATTTGATGTGACTTAATTATTGAGTTGTCAGGACCTGGTATATGGGACATGGTGAGGGTGAAAACTCTGACAGCAAAGGAAACTATAGATCTGCTTTTCCACTATAACAGTGCTTGGCTTTTATTGTGTGCTTGTGTTTCTGTTGCAGTGTAACATACAGTAAAAACAAAAAAACAGTAATGCGATGCTGTGTAATCTACTCATTAAAAAGCAAATTCGTAAAAAACTACCTGATACCTAAATGGTGACTAAATGATCACAATGCATAGTTTTTGCCTATTAAAGTACTGGAGAATAAATTTGGAATACGTTTTTACATAGATAGGGGCTGAGAGATGCTTGCATATATTGGTTATTGCCATGCACAGTATTAAGAACAGGATAACAACAATGCCTAAATTCTGCTATCGAATTAGTTGAAGCTTCGTTTGGACTAGTGCCAGGAATAGCAAAATAAGACCAGGATGGTTTGGGAGACACGTTATGCATTATTAAAAAGATTTGAGCATTGAGCAAATAAATTTTACTACAGTAAAACCAATACTATTCTCTGTCTTTAGTCTAGCTTCTGGCTTTGCAAACACATTTTCTTTATTTGAGAACAAGCATAACCAAAAATTAAGCTGCATCTGGCCCTGCAAGCGGTCCTCCAACTTGCAAGGAAACAAATTTTTGGGGGGGTTGGTCACAGGATTGGCACTCCAGCCACCGTAAAACAATTCACAACTGCTCATAACAAACAAGCATGATACTTTTCTGCTCTCCATGGGAGACGCTGGCAGCACTCTCTGAGGTACACAGACCGGGGAGTGGCCAGATCTCTGTAGGTGGGTATACCTACGTTTTGTCTGGTCAGTCTGATGGCTGCCATACTCAGGGAGTAGCTGTTGCTGTAGTGGATCAGACCCTGATGGTTGCCGAGGGTTGTGTTGGTGTTGCCGGTGTTCATAGGAGGAGGCGTTTCATTTCGCAGGGCACCTTAGATATCGAGTCGCAGCGCATGACTTGGTGGCAACGCCAGACTGCACCGGGAACTGAGGAGGGCTGTGAGGGCTCTGAGTACAGATAAGGAGGTGTTTGTTAGACGAATCTGTGAGCAGGTGACACACCATCTGTGCTCTAGTGACCCCTGTCCTGCTTACAGAGGAATCAAAGTATTACGCACATCTGAATCTGTTCACCGGAGACTTTCAGTCAGGGCGAGTAATGGAACAGTCCTTACGGATGACACTGCAGTTTTGACCCACTGGGCCGGCTACTTTGAGTAGCTGTTTAAACCTGACCCTCCAGCTAGGATGTTGGACATCTCTGGGTCCATTGTTCTCGAAGCGGACTCTCCAATCACCTGTGAACCATCCAGTCTCACTGAGATTGCACGGGTGGTGAATTAGTTGAGGGTAGGGACGGCCGCAGGGGTCTGTGGTATCCCGGGTGAACTTCTCCCGGCTGGTGGTAAGTATGTCGTCCTGGCATTGCAGACTATCTTTGCTTCCATTTTGGGAGTCAGGCATCATCCCAACTGACTGGAAAATGGGATTTGTAGCCCTTATCTGGAAAGGGAAGGGTGATTGCCTGGATTGTGGTAACTACAGGGGGATAACACTGCTTTCAGTGCCGGGTAAGGTCCTTGCTAGGGTCATCCTTAACATGATCCGTGATCACTTGCTTTGCGTTCTTCCCAGTTGATTCTGGGGTCATGTTCTTGCTCCTACTCCGTTCAATGCTTGCATGGACTGGATGTTGGGCAGGGTCGTGGGGTCCAGCAGCTGTGGTGGCATCCATTGGTGAAAAAAGATTTATTGATCTTGACTTTGCCAACGATGCTGTGATCTTAGCGGAGTTAATGGATGCTCTGATCGGGGTTCTCGAGAGACTGAGCAAGGAGTCTGTCTACAATTGCGGGTGTCCTGGATAAAGACCAGATTTACCTTAACAGTAACATTCATGTCTCTGGTGACTCTTCCTATGAAGTCAGCAGACAGATTGGTGTCATGAGGTCGCTGGAAAGGGGTGTGTGGTGGTCCTAATATCTTTGCAAGAGGATGAAGGTCCAAGTCTTTAGAGTCCTGGTTCTCCGTCTTGCTGTATGTCTGTGAGACATGGACACTATCCAGTGAGCTGAGACGAAGCCTGGACTCCTTCGGTACTGTGTCTCTTCGGTGAATCCTTGGGTACTGCTGATTTCACTTAGTGTTTTATATTTTTTCTCGTAAATGTCTCAAGATCCTCATAGGGGTCAGGCAGCATGATATGCTACTACAAAACATACTTTGAATTAGGGATGTAAAGATGTATCAACATGATGAATTATTATGGTGGTGATTCATTGTGTCTAAGAACATAAAAACATAACAAATTTACAAATGAGAGGAGGCCATTTGGCCCATCAAGCTTGTTTGGGGAGAACTCAACTAATAGCTCATAGTTGTTAAAATCTTATCTAGCTCTCATTTAAAGGAACCCAGGGTTTTAGCTTGCACTACACTAACAGGAAGACTATTCCATACTCTACAAGCTGTGTAAAGAAGTGCTTTCTCAAATTCATTTTAAAATGTTCTCCAACTAATTTCCACCTATGGCCACAAGTTCTAGTATTTTAACTAATATTGAAGTAGCCATTTGGCTGAACATCATCCAGACCTGTTAGAATCTTATATACCTGGATCATGTCCCCCCCTTAGTTTCCTTTGCTCAAGGCAAGATTCAGCTCAGCTAACCTCTAAGACATTCCTCTAAGACCAGGAATCATTCTTGTAGCCCTATGTTGCACCCTTTCCATGGCAGCAATGTCCTTTTTAAGGTATGGTGACCAAACCTGCACACAATATTCTAGGTGGGGTCTTACCAAGGAATTATATAATCATAGCATCACCTCCTTTGACTTAAACTCCACACACCTACAGATGTAACCCAGCATCCTATTGGCCTTTTTAATTGCTTCCCCACACTGGCGAGAGTGGGACATACGTCATGGGGCATCAACATACACACAGAGGTCTTTCTCATAATCGGCTACCTTTATTTCAGTGGATCCCTTAAAATATCTGTACATTATATTTCTGCTCCCTGCATGGATTACCTTACATTTATCTACATTAAATTTCATCTGCCAGGTATCAGCCCAGTCGCTAATTAAATCCAGATCCTGTTGTAGCCTCTGTGCTCATCTGCTACACCACCGACCTTGGTGTCTTCTGCAAATTTAACCAGTTTACTATATGTATTTGTATCAATGTCATTAATGTAAATTAGGGACAATAATGGGCCTAAAACTTAACCTTGCAGTGCCCCACTATGAATGCAGGCCCACTGTGACATTGTGCCTCTAATAACTACCCGCTGCTTCCTGTCTGTTAACCAGTTTTCGATCCAAGCTGCCACATGTGGGGGACAACATCAAAGGCCTTCTGGAAATCTAAGAAGATCACATCTTAGGCCTTTTTGTGATCAATTTCTCTTGTAGCGTCTTCAAATAACTCAAGTAGATTCGTTAAACAGGATCTACCTCTCCTAAATCCATGTTCACCATTTTCACTTGGATTATAGCTTCCATTACTTTTCCAATTATGCAAGTTAAACTGGTTGGCCTATAGTTTGCTGGATTACTTCTATCCAATTTTTTGAATATCGGTGTTGTATTAGCAATCATTACATTAGAATCAATTCAAATCCATTTTGGGGGGTAAAATAAAGATTCTCCTACTTCTGGGTTCTTGTGTTCACATGCTGCAGGTAATTTATATTCTTTGACAAAGCCGGCAAGATAAAGACGCTTGGTGGATGCACAATGTAGCAGTGCCAAAACACGGACTTCCAGAATGTAACATGGCAGGGGAAGGTTCATTAATATTCTTAAAGGAAGCGCTATCTGATCTCTGTGCTACAGTGATGATCTTTGAACTACGATGCTTTAGGGAACTTGCCTCTGTTTTGTACTGCAGAACACCCACTCTAATACAGCCATGGCCAAAAGTTTTGTGAATGACACAAATATTAATTTTCACAAAGTCTGCTGCCTCACTTTTTAGGATGGCAATTTGCATATACTTCAGAATGTTATGAAGAGTGACCAGATGAATTGCAATTAATTGGAAAGTCCCCTTTGCCATGAAAATGAAGTAAATCCCAAAAAAATACATTTCCACTGCATTTCAGCCCTGTCACAAAAGGACCTGCTGATGTTATTTCAGTGATTCTCTCATTAACACAGGTGAGGGTATTAACAAAGACAAAGCTGGAGATCACTCTCATGCTGATTGAGTTAGAATAGCAAACTGGTTACTTTAAAAGGAGAGTGGTGCTTGAAATAATTGTTCTTCCTCTGTTAACCATGGTTACCTGCAAGGAAACATGTGCAGTCATCATTGCTTTGCACAAAATGGGCTTCACAGGAAAGGATATTGTTGCTAGTAAGATTGCATCTAAATTAACCATTTATCGGATCATCAAGAACTTCAAGGAGAGAGGTTCAATTGTTGTGAAGAATGCTTCAGGGTGCCCAAGAAAGTCCAGCAAGCACCTGGACCGTCTCCCAAAGTTCATTCAGCTGTGAGATCGAGGCACCACTAGTGCAGAGCTTGCTCAGGAATGGCAGCAGGCAGGTGTGAGAGTACCTGCATGCACAGTGCAGGGAAGACTTTTGGAGGATGGCCTGGTGTCAAGAAGGGCAACAAAGAAGCCACTTCTCTACAAGAAAAACATCAGGTACAGACTGATATTCTGCAAAAGGTACAGGGATTGGACTGCTGAGGACTGGGGTAAAGTCAGATGCTCTGAATCCCCTTTCTTGTTGTTAGGGGCATCGGAGTGCTGTCATGTCATCAGTAAAGCATACTGAGACCATTCATGTGTGGGGTTGCTTCTCAGCCAAGGGAGTGGGCTCAGTCACAATTTTGCCTAAGAATGCAGCCATGAATAAAGAATGGTACCAAAACATCCACCAAGAGCTACTTCTCCCTACCAATCAAGAACATTTTGGTGGTGAACAATGCCTTTCCCAGCATCTTGGAGCACCTTCCCATAAGGCAAAGTGATAACTAAGTGGCTTGGGGAACAAAACATTGACATTTTGGGTCCATAGCCAGGAAATTCCCCAGATCTTTGTCCCATTGCAAACTTGTGGTCAATCCGCAAGAGGTGGGTGGACAAACAAAAACCCACAAATTCTGACAAACCTCAAGTGTTGTTTATGCAAGAATGGGCTGCCATCGGTCAGGATTTGGCCCAGAAGTTGATTGACAGCATGCCAGCATGAATTGCAGAGGTCTTGAAAAAGGGCCAACACTGCAAATATTGACATTCTGCTTAAACTTAACGTAATTGTCAATTAAAGCCTTTGATACTATTGAAATGCTTGTAATTATACATCAGTATACCATAGAAACATCTGACAAAAAGATCTACAAACACTGAAGCAGCAAACTTTGTGATAACTACTACTTCTATCATTCTCAAAACTTTTGGCCATGACTAAAGATATTTTCACTATGATGCTTTTGGTAAACACTCCTATATTGTAGTGCAAAAAAGTCATTCTTTTTGCAAGCTAAGATAGCAATGATCACGACCCTGAGGTAGTCAAGATCTCAAAGTACTGCAACATGTTCTGGCCCGCAGCTCAATTTTTCATTTTCCACAGAATAAAAAACGATGTAACATCATTCCACTAATCTTCGCTGGCAGGCTCGGCAAGTTTCATCGCCAGCAAACACCCCATCAGGTAGCACTTCCTTTAATGTGTTTGGTTTTTTTAGAAATAAAAAAACTGCAGTTCAGTAGTTAACTGACAGTTTTACATTGGCGTATTTTCCTGTTTAATAATACCAATCGAAATACTTAGTATTCTGTTAATAATGTCTAATTAAGCTACCATGGTATTATTTGTGAAATGTTTTTCAGTAAAGTTTTGAGATTTATAAAAAAAAAAAAAAAACGAATTATCCATTTCCTGATAGAAATTAAAGGTTTCCAATTCTTTGCGGCGTTCCCTCAGTAATCATAATTTGATTGCCTTGGGGCCAATGATTAATACCCCAACTTTTAATATTTGTGCATAGCAAATGGACTAGAAAAAGAGTACAGGATGCCTCCCATCCCTGATCTAGTAAATCTTTAAAAAATAATCAAATAATCAAGTCCACCACCTCTGTTTTTGCATGAGCTTTAGATGCACTCTTTGAGCTGCTAATTATTTCTGTTCTTGCAGTTGGACTCACTCATAGACAATTTAGCACTTTAACAAAGTGAATGACGAGAAAAATGAACAAGAACTAGTCATGAAAAGACATTCATCTTCCACCGTATGGAAATATTTTGGATTCTGTAGAAATGAGGTTGAACAAAAGCAAGCAGTCTGCTGGCAGTGCTTTGTGTCTTGGCACAAACTAACAGCAACCATTATTAAGTTATTTGATAATTTTTGTATCCAGATGTTAGGGTTAATCAGAATGTGAATGAACTACTGACTTGCCCTTCCCACTTAAGACATTATTAGTTGATTATAAAAAAATTTATGACTGTAGTCTTATTTTGGGTACATTTTCAGATCCTTTTTTGTTTTTATAAAATATTTATCACAAAAACTTTAAATTTTTCCCCCCAATATGAAAATAAATTAATGGTGTAGCTAAGAAGTCAGAGATGTGTTGTTAGGATTGACAGGTAGCTGCTTTTCTTCAACGTCTGGACTCCTCCAGGCTCCTGTATTGGATTAATACATACGCACGTCTTCCAGCAAGGATTTCCTACTTCTGCCTGATGAGTTAAATCGCATACTAAAAATATTTGATTTTAACTGCATTTAATTTTACAATGTACACACTTTTCTAGGAAAAAGGAAATAGGATTGTTTTTTCCCCCTTGGGTATAAACTTTTGTTTTTGGTTATGTTTTTTAAATGCAGATTACAGATTGTGCCGAGGAGGAAGACACTGAGAAAGATCTTAAAGAGGCTCAGAAAGGTGAGCTGCTGACAAATCAAGGCTGTTTTGTCCTTTATTGTACAGAGCGTATGAATTGTGAAGTTATAAAATATCTTAAAATTGATTTTCAAAATCAACAGCTATACGGTACACTACCAAAAGGCACTGCATGAACCTAACACAGCTACATAGTACACTACAAAAAGACTTGACATGAACATAATGGAACTATACAGAACCCTACATAAAACACTGCATGAACCTAACAAGAGCTATACAGTATGCTACAAAAAGACACTGCATAAACGTAACACAGCTATACAGTACGCTACAAAAACACACTGCATGAACCTAACAGCTATACAGTACGCTACATAAAAATACTGCATGAACCTATAAAGAAGTATACAATACACTACAAAAAGACTTGACATGAACCTAATAACCCATCTAAAATACGATACAAAAAGACACTGTAAGAACCTACCGAGAGCTTTACAGTATTCTACAAAAACACTACTTGAACCTAACAGCTATTCCGTACACTTCAGAAACCCATGGCATGAACCTGACAACAGAGCTATAGAGTACACTACAAAAAGGCAATGCACGAACATAACAGCTGTACAGTACACTACAAAAAGACGGAATCTAAAATGGAAGAATTTTGTTCTGTGAATGTTTTATGATCACTATTTAACCAGATGCTATTGATAGTGAAGTGATGAGCAGTGAACGATAGCTGATAGGGTAGAGTTACTTACTTTTCCAGAAGTTGCATTTGAACTGAGTACTTGTGTGAAGGTGCTGTTTTTCTCTGTTATTCAGATAAAGGTCTGCTGGTGGAGGTAAAAGTCAACAAAGAGTGGTTCACAGGAAGGGTAGCAGCAGTGGAAGCCAGTAAGCAGAGCGTGCGTTGGAAAGTGAAGTTTGATTACGTGCCCACGACCTCCACTCCTCGCGACCGATGGTAAGGGGGCAGCTGTGAGACACTGGTACCACGATGAAACCCAGACTATTATGTGTTTGACACATAAACAAACACACACACAAACAAACAAACAAGGTAGTAGTGGTTGTAATGGGCCTCATGTTGAATTTTTACCCCGCAAAGCTGTTATTAGCTTGTGGATGATGAACTGGCACTGGGTGGATGTAAAAATTAAGGTTTTAATGCTGTTTCTTTTAGTATTAATTAAAGACTTCAAATGCAGACAGAATATGGTTCAGCAAAACAAACAACGCCACATGCTGAGAATAAAGATGTCTAATAGATAGATACTGAGTGGAGGGGTGGAATTAACAGAAAAATTATTTTAGCAAAAGATTTGGAGTTATAATAGGCCAATAATCATAGCTTTATTACTTTATCTTTAAAAGTAGCTGATGAGATGGGTGGGTTAATGGTTTTTCACATTTACAGCAGGTAATCACTTGAACTGGCCATAGAGAGAAAATGACACCCATTGGCCCAATATTTACAAATTTAAATCAGGCACTAAAATAACACAATCAGGAAAATGGATGTGCTTAAGGCCCACCTGTTTCTGTATAGGACAAAATTATACATGTCTGCTGACTACTTCCTGGATGCCAAGCTAATTAATTGTGTGTTTTATTGCAGCGTTTACCTCATTAGGTTTGAATGCTTGTCAGAAATAAGTAATTTTATGAAGCAGTCCTGTTTTGCAAATAGCTGCTGTAGCTTCCGTGTCCAACCACTATAATTGTGAGTTGTCTTTAACACAAACAGCTGCCCTTTGACTAAATACAGTGGAACAAGAAATTAATATGTTCCAGAAGGCTGGTCGAGTTGCAATTTGGTCGAGTTCCAAGTTGAATTTCCCTATAAGAAATAATGTAAATTAATTTAATTTCACCAAACCATTTAAATAAGTCTGCGAGTTTTTGTCATATACTCATTTAAAAAAACACCCTTAGAAACCTTGGATGGTCTACTTTTCAAATATATATATATATATATATATATGAATATATTTTTACAGCTTTGTGATACGAATAGAAAGAACAAGAGTGACTGACTTAAGCGTCTGCGTCTCGAAGCAGCTCTGATCGCCTTCCCACTTGCAAATCGCGCTATTCGCATGATAATAACATGATAATCCGACAGTTAGTATTGGGTAAAGGAATATGTGAATACGCCCATTGTGACCAAAATAAACAAGTGCACATGTCTGGGTAGTGTTTACACTGATCGGCTACAATATGGCACACGGATACGAGATATAAACTGAAATACTCGAGAAAGATACGCAGTCGACGATGCCCTCGTCCCCAGAGCGTTAATAATAGTCACTGCATCATATTTATCGTTTTCTATATTTATATGGTCGCAGTTTTTCATTTTTCATTCCATCTACCAATAAACTGTGAAAGGGATTTTATTGTTGCTACTTTTCTTGCGTTTCAAACTGCCTTTCCAAAGTGATGGGTGTGGGGTCAGTGACATTCCACACTGATTGGCCATTTACAGTATGCAAACTACTACAGGTGTGGGGACACCTATCCCATCAATATTCATTGTGCAGGCCACTGACTTTGAGAAAAAGAGTGTCACTCGAAAGTTCTAACACTTTAGTAATCAAACCACATTAAATTTCAGAATGTCTCTTTCACCTATGTGTAGCCAACCCCTGTGTCTATAAGCTTCAGAGCTCAAAAGTCTTGACTAGAAATGTCTATAATGTGATTTTTTACAATTTATCAGCATGTCTGAAAATAGGTTTTTGAAAAGTATATGTTTAAAGTTGATTTTAACAAAAAATAGAATAACATTCTAAGTGGTCTCAGATTATTGGTGCTGAGTTTGTGCTGGATAAAAGCAAATGTATCACTTTAGGATAAATGTTTTTTAGATAGGTGAAATATTTTAAAATGTCAAGGCATGTCAGACTACCCCGAAGGTGGCTGAGAGGCCTCAGACTTCTGAGGGTTAACGCTTATTGTGGCAATCAGGGGCAGTTAACCCAGCTCTAGCGAATTAACCCTGGGTATGTAAAACTTTTTTCATAGTTCACCCCACAGGTTGGTCATACCTGGATTCTGTCCCAATATTCTGCAGTAGTGTTCATGGTGGGATAGGTGGGTGGTGTTAGGGGAACTAAGAGCCTGGGGCCGGTTGCACAAAACACCTTATGTTTTCCCCTTAAGTATGACACTTAAGGTTTAATTTCTCCTTAGCTAAGGGATTTATTTAAGGGTGTTGCACAGAACCCCTTAAAAGATTTCCTTAGTTAAGGAAAAACATTAAGGGATTTACAACATCGAAAGATGTTTTACAGCAGTAAAATTGTACCGTTTCCATGGAGACAGTTCATATGCTTGCACTTGCGCCTGCTTGTGATACCCTTATCGCCTCACAAAGTTACTCACAAAGTAAAAAAAAAAAAAAGTAGGAGAAAAGAAGACGAGAGCCAAATTGGTCAGAGGAGTAAAAGATTATACTTTTGGAGGAATACAATAAGGGTATACTCAGACTAGGCAGTTTGAACCGTGACCGAGTGCGTTTGACCACCAAAGTGCGGTTCGTTTCACTAGTGTGAGTGCTCCGAACCGTGCCCAGGTGCGGTTCGTTTAGCTGTCCCTGGCGTGCTTGGAGGAGATGTGCCAGAGCACGGTTCAGTTGGACTCGGGCGCGGTTCGCATGTAGTGTGAGCGCTAACCGTGCTGGAGTAGTATTCAAGTGCACACATAATAGTGATGTGTCCCATTGAATACAGGTGTCTTAATACAAGAATGTAGCTAATATTAACCAGCAAGTGATAGTAAGTTACATGATTATTAGCTATAGAACACTACTGTCATCATTACAAAACACATTATAAACATATTGTATTTTAAATTTCATAATACACTTTTGAATTATATTCAATGACATTTCAGTATATTAATTCTCACCTTGTCGATATACGGGAACTGTAGTCGGTAATCAAAGCTGCAAAGTCCTTGCTGCACTTCAGCTGGTACCTTGCAAACCTCCTCATACGAGCAGCACGGTAGCGTGAAAATTTTCGTGCCACAAAAGCGATAGACCTGTTTACCAACAATCTGTGAGAGGGCTGTGGACCACCGCGGACCAAACGACTCAAAATTACTATCAACAAAGTAACCAGAGCAATGGACTCCATTGCGTTCAGAGAGAGCGCCGCTCTTCCTGTTTATCCTGAAACCGTCGCATCATAATGACGTAAGCGTGCTCCAGCACGAATGCTGAAACCCTATGTGAGTGCAGGCCAGAGGGGGAGTGGGGAGGGGGGACAATCGTACTTGGGCCCGGTTCACGGCAACCATGCCTAGTGTAAGTACACCCTAAAAGAACATACTAAAAAGTAAATTTGATCCGCAAATAACAGCAAACAGAAAACAACAAATGTGGGAGGAAATGACAATGAAAATTAATTCAAGAAGTCTACATTGTGCTACAACGTTAACTATTTTATGTTCATGATTGCAAACTAACTGGACATTGAATATTGATTTTTAATTTTTTTTCCTGTTAATAAATTGATCTACATATTGTATGGGAGCTTGAATCCTGATGTGGGTCCCATCTATCACCCCGCACACTCTTGGGAAGCTGGCTACATTAAAGAAGTGTTGCTATTTCATCCTCGTCTTCTTCAGAGGGGAATTTCACCACTGTGTTCAACAGACGGGCCATGGCGTTTGAAATTCGGTGAATGACGCGGTACACCGTTGACTTGTGGACATGAAATACATCGCCTATTACAGCCTGAACGAGCCCATAGCATAAAACCGCAGAGCAATCATTAATTGCAACGCAGCTGGGAGAGCACAGCTTCAACTTGAGAAGTGATCCAACTGTAGATAGTCGGACAAATCAAATTGACTGCCGGTCAAATTTATAAAGCAAAATCAATTGCTCATCATTAATCGTATCTTAGGGCTTCTCCTGGTCACGGAACACTCTTGGGTTGCATTCGTTTTCGTTATCATAAACTCGGCCGTGTTACAGTTAAGGTACAGTTAGAAGTACCTTAATTTTTTTTTCCCCTTAGTTTGGTTGCTAAGGTCTTTTGTGCAACCCTTAAGGAGTTCCTTAAGTATAAGACCAAAGAGAATATTAAGGAAACCTTAAGGAAGAGACTAAAGAGTGTTTTGTGCAACCGACTTTACTTTGAGGCCTTAATTCAGACTTTAAGGAAAATCTAACTTAAGGTGTTTTGTGCAACAGGCCCCTGGAGTACAGTAGGAAAAAGCCAATTTCTGAAACATTGTTTTGAAGGTCACCCATATGTAGTATCATTGGGAAGGTTTTTGTGTGTGTGTCTGTGTGTGTGTGTGTGTATCAATGTGTGTAAAACACACCTTATATAAAATAGGGTTTAATGTTAACTCTAAGGTCTCCATTAAATACAGCGTTCTGTTTGATGGGCATTTGGGATATTCATTAAAGGCTTTGTTTGAGTTTGCACAATGTTTGTTTTATAGACATTTGAAAGCCTTCAACTAGACAGCCTGAGTCATTGTGCACAATGGTACTATCCCATTAGAGTTCCTGAGATGATATGTGTGACTCACAGGGTTTTTAAGGGCAGCGATGAGGTTCGACTGATGCGACCCCCATCCCCGGTCACTCAGAGCCCGGACACCCAACAGGAAGCTGAAGCAGAGAGGGCATCCATTGCAATGGAGCCCGATACCACGCAACCCGGCAGTAGCCGGGAGCTGATGGATAGCCTGGTGGTCATGATGAGGTAGCCTCTTCCCCTCTGTATTCAATTCAGTTAATTTTTATATGGTGCCTTTCACAACCTTGTCACCCCAAGGCGCTTTACATAAGTGTGTTGTGATTCATTACATCATCATTGAGAGAACAATACAAAACAGGGAAAACGAAATGAGAGAAAGCAACCCAGTAGACAGTGGAGGAGAACAACCAAAATCTCCCAAGTAGGAAGGAAAAAAAACCTCTTGGGGTCCAAGGTCAACTGGCTACCCAGTACCCATGGGTCAGCTAATATTATTGGAAAAAGGAAAGACTGGGCTTTCTTGCTAAAAGCAAGGTATAGACTTTGATCAGATCAAGCCAAAGTCTATCAAAGAGTCAGTTCGCCACTCCAGCCTGAACAGGGTGCAGATGAAAAACTGCACCCACAATGTTAGTTTGTAGGTCACATCCACAGTGTCACCCTACCTTGGGACTGAACCAAGATTCCAGCTCAGTTGGTGCCCACTCCTGTAACCATCCAGACATGGGGGATTGAAGGCAGAGAGCATGGGTGGTCAGAACATGGATTGACACATTAATGGACAAGTACAGTACATAATGACATATACAGCAGCACCAACAGCCATAGTTATGTTGTGTTATGTGTTAAGTTACGGGTAAGCTAAATTGAAGTAATGGGTAATCAGTCGAGATTTAAAGACTGAGACCAAATTGGCATTCTGAACATAGTCTGGTAAACCATTCCACAATACAGGGTGTCTGTAGCAGAATGCTTTATCACCAACTCTCACTTTATTTATATGTGAAACAACAAGGAAACCGGTATTGTGTGATCTGAGTGGGTGATGTGGCTTGTAAGCTTTAAGTAACAGGTGCTAGACCTTTTAAGTGCCTTATATGTAAGTAGGAGAAATTTGAACCTAACAGGAACCCAGTGCAAGGAACAAAAAGCAGGGCTTATATGTTCAAACTTCCTGTTCCTGGTGACAGTTTGAACTGCTGTATTTTAATTATGCTACAAGTTGTTTAGTGTGCCATGTGTGCTCCCAAGTAACAGAGGATTACAGTCTAACCTACTGTATGTAAAGGCATGTATCAATTTCTCAGTGTCTTGAATATTAAGTAGTCGTCATAGTTTGACGATGTTATTCAGCTGTAGAAAGCATACCTATGGGAGGTATTTTCTGCTAAAAATAAAATGAAAATGAAAATAATGATAAAGTGAAAATAATCTCCACTTTGCCATTTACTTTTCAAAGTCTGCAAAAATCCTGCCAAAATGAAAGCTGAAATGAAATAGCACCATTTGCATTTTAATTTTCTGCTCCTGTATGAGTCAGATGTGAAAATAAAAATTGTGAAAAAAAATTTAAAAAATAAGTTCAGAAACCTTTTAGTCTTTTCATTTTCCAGTTTTTTTTTCATTTCCTACTTTACTTTTTCATTTAAGTTAACATATATTTGCATGTTGTGAACTGACGCACTGCTGTGATTTCTCAGTGAGTTTGCTAATTCCTTTTTGTGTTCCTTGCACATGGTCGCCCGTGTTGCTCAAACTAATGGCAAAGTCACACGCAGCTTCAGTTAGCTACTTATTTGCAGCTTCGGATTCATTTAGCTTCTTATTCGCAGTGTCTTATTTTGCAGCTTAAGTTAGCTTCTTATTCGTAGCTTTACTAGAAGGGAATATTTGCACAGCTCATGCTACAATTTTTTCACACGACATTTTGAAAATATAAAAACATATTAATAAAAGGTTTAAGCTGTAGCATGTATATTTATTTCATATAAGAATTTCACAAGTCTCCCTGTAACGAAAATGGTGGAATTACCCAGGCATAATGTGATTTTTCTTTTGTAACAGTAAACTGGTTGCATGACACACAGGAACACGACAACAGAATGAGCAGACGTAATGAGAAAGCACAACAGTGATCGATAGCTCTGTCCACTGTCTGCTCCAGTTAACATATATTTGCATGTTGTGAACTTGAAAATGAAAAGGCAAATAGTAAATGAAAACTCAACCTGGAAAATGAAGACAAAAGGTTTTTTAATTTAATTTTTCACATCTGACTCATGCAAGAGTGGAAAATTTTAAATGCAAATGGTGCCATTTCATTTTAATTTTCATTTTGGCAGGATTTTTGCGCTTATACTTTGAAAACTAGTGGAGAATTTATATTTTATCATATTCATTTTATTTTTTGCAGAAAATTCCTCCCATACATACCTTCGATACTGCATCTAAATGTGATTTGAATGAGAGGTTTGTATCTAAGGCTTGTATCACTCCACACTTCATGCTCCTAGCCCTAAAGTTCCATATATTCAAACATACTCTATACAGACTACCGGTCCTTTGTGTTATGTGTTTCAGGACGTTTCTGCGCTACTTCTTCCCTCCGGAATTTCGAATTCCAAAAGATGACATTAACAGCATGACCGCAGAGGAGTTAGTAGCTTTTCCAATGGTATGTTGAGGAAGTTTGTCATAAGATGCTGAACTGGTTTATCTGCTTAACCTTTGGTCATTGGAAATGTCCATACATTTATCTATACATAACTGTGTGATACTTTTCAATTACTAAATTACACAAACTAATGTAAGACACTTCCACTTGTTTTATATTTTATATCCACTTAAGATTGACATGATTTAAGACTAGCAAATTCCTAGCTAATGAATTGTTTTCGTATTTGACTGAAACTTAATTTTGGTGATAAAAGCTGGGGCTGCAGAGTTAATGCTAAGCCTCACCCTGCAGAAAGAGTACTTCCAGCAGTATGAGCTGGGCCTACAGAGCCTGTGCAACTCGTATCAAAGCCGGGCTGATGCCCGGGCTCGTGCTGTGGAAGAGAAGAGCAATAGTGCAGAGGCACGCCTTCGTGACTCTGAGGAGAAGCTCCAGAAACTGCGGACCAATATTGTAGCTCTGCTGCAGAAAGTCCAAGAGGTGGGTAGCCCAACCCCATCCCCCCCCCTATATTTATTATGTAATTAGGAAAAAAACTATTTTTCCTTAATTTTTCCATTCATTCTTCAATTTCTGTTAAACATGCTTGCACAATTAAGAGACCAAACTACCAATTTATCATTTTAAATCAAAGTAATTTTAATAATGGTGACCACTGAGCCCCAATGCTGCCCCCATTCTATGGCGATTTCACCTAACAGAATGTTGTCATTTGGTCAATACTAAAAACTGCATTCTAAAACCTGAACATCAGCAATTCAGAAATGCTACAGCATTAACAGTACGTTTAACTTGGAGTGTTCTTATCACAGTGAAATTGTCACTCAAACGTTATATAAGAACACTGCAAGTTAAACGTACTGTCAATAGCAAATACTGTAGCATTTCTGAAATGCTGATGTTCAGGGGCAGCATTGGGGCTCAGTGGCCACCATTATTTTTACATCGAGTAGGCTGCTCTTTCTTTGTGTTTCTTTTGTATTTGCTTGAAGGTCTACTGGTTTCCTCCGGGTTCCTTATTTGGATAAAAGAACAGTTGGTTCAGGTGCTGCCCTCTGCTGGCCTTCTTTGAAACTACAGACAAAGGATGGGTAGTTTTCAGAGACTCCCTAAAAAGTTGATTGTCTGTGTGGAGATTAAAAATAACAAAACCAAGCCCCTGCATAAAAAGTTGCATGGTCATATACTTATGGCATAGCAGTTAGCCTTGTTAAGTTCTGTCTTTCACACTCACTACAGGACATCGATATCAACACAGATGATGAACTGGATGCTTACATTGAGGACCTGCTCACTAAAGGAGACTGACTGGACACACTGAGTGACCAGCGTTGCTCTCACCCTTCCCAGACAGCCAATTTCATTCTGTTTCTACCTTGTTCTGTGTGTTGGCTGTCAAAGAAAAAAACTGTGGGATGACAAAGCAGCAAAGATTGCATTCCATATGTGTAATATAGATAATCAAGCACGCCTGCACATTACCTGGCCACTCCTGAGAGTAGGCTGAGTGTTGCTATGTGCTAGGAAGGACATTGTGGGAGGGAGAGGGAATTTAGTTTGGGCATCCCGAAGCTTTTAGTAACTGTAAGGAAGAACTTTGTTGTTGGGAAATGTGATCCAAAACACTCTGGATGTATGACACTTGTCTCATTGGTCCAGCGGAGGAAGAAAATCTCACCTTTTAACCCCATGTAGCTACTTCAAGGTATCCCCTTTTTCTTACTATTTTGTTGTGCGTTTCAGCATGATTTTGTCTACAAACAGGGTTAAATGCATTTTACTAGATTTGGTTTAAATTGGACTTATATTTGTACAAGTATAAATATTATACTTGTACAAATATGGTGTTAAACAAAATTTAGTAAAAACAAACAAGAATAAGCCCTTGAACAGTATGGAGAGGGGATAGTAGTCAGCCTAACCTTCTTGATGGTATTCCTGTCCATCATTACATTAACGTACCTCAAGGCATTACAGTACACTTCACCGTTTTGCAGTGTCCACTTTTATTTTATTCAACGCTAAAACTGTTGATAGGACTCAGAACTTAGATTATGCTCCCCCTCATTACACACTAATAGCAAGGAGGATTATGTAGATGTTATTTCTGCTATCTGCACATATATCCAGTTCCTGTCACACAGTTCCAACACATTTCACTTTGCTCAAAATTCAGATTTAAGTATGTGTCCTTTTTTTTGGCAGGACAGATGTAATAATCCCAGGGTCAGTGCTGCTTTTACCAATTTAGAGGATGGTATCTGATAAGTATGAAAATTGGGGGTTCTTGGATGCTTCCTTCTTCAGGAGTATACTCCAGAATGGAGCATGTGGGGAGAGATAATTAATCTAATTTAGCATCTCCCAAGACTTTGAGGGTGTTAACAAGCTTGCCCTCAAACCAAAATATTTACTGGGTTTTATCAGTATATATTATCTTGGAAGCTTTCATCCGACTATAGGACAACTTTTTTGGGGTAGGGGAGGGGCAGTATAATCGCTTTAAAATCACCCATATTATTTAGTTAATCCAGTCAAGGGAAGCCTTTATGTGTATTCTGTGGTAATGTTTCTTTTAAAAAATATTTTTAAATGTTAAAGAACTGTTTTATTAAAATGTGTGGTTTATTTTTGCTCTTGTATGCTTACTTTGCAAAAATGTACACATGCACTGACATAATGTTGAAGGGAAAAGTTATGACAAATCCGATTGCCCAGATGAGTTTTCTTGGAAGGCTTGTCTATCTGAGTTTTGTCTGTTTGATGAGAGTTTTACTCTAACACTGACAGCTGCTCATCAGTAGAGTATAAAACCTAAACTGTTCCTCTGCTTTTTGAGGTATAGTTTTTAAACAGATAGTGGCATTTTTTTCTTCAGTTGTGTAATATGGTGTGGCTGAAAATAGAAGCGAAAAGATGTGTATGTGGCGTATGTGCTATGGTTTTGCAAGAAGGTTTTTCTAGTTTTAGATATTACATTTTTTTTTATTTGCCTCTACCTTATCACAATGTGACCCTGGAGAAATGACATTTCATGGAAACCTTGCTGCATGCTACGCAAATGTTTGTGTACATGTATCCGTATATGGTGAGGTGACAAAGAATCTTGAATGTTAGATCACCCTTACTTCAAAGCTCTTACATCAGTTAAATATTAGAACATTTGTCATATATGCTTTCCTTTACTTAACCAGGATAGGATTGGAAAATTAGAGGTTTTAGAACCATTGGACGGTAGTGATCATAACATGCTTAAATTCGAGGTTAATTTTAGTGTCCAAAGAGCAAAGTCAAAAATAAAAGTATACAATGTTAGGAAGACTAACTTCAATGGTATGAGACTGAAACTAGAAACTAAACTGGATGGAGTTAAATAGCAAAACGGTTGAAGAGGCATGGGAATTTTTTAAAAGCACATTGATACAAGTGCAAGAGGACATACCTGTTTCCAGTAAAACTAGATCTAGGAAACTTCAACCAATGTGGTTTACTAAGGAAATTAAGAATAAAGTCAGGAGGAAAAGGGCTCTGTTCCACAAATATAAAATATCTAATGATTTAAAAGCTGAAATCACTAATTTGCAGGATAGTAAGGGCCTTATAATTGAAAATGAAATTGATATAGTAAATGAGTTTAATGATTATTTTACACGGGTGTTCACAGTAGAGAACATGAGTAACTTACCACCATTTAGTACGAATACAGTGTCGTCTGACCAATATATGTATAACTGAGGCTGACGTGGTACTAAGCCTAGCTAAGCTCAAAATAAATAAATCGCAGTGCCCTGATGGCATCTTGCATATAATTTTAAAAGAGATGAGGGATATTATTAGCCATCCTTTAACTTTAACATTCCAGAAATCATTATCTGCAGGTGTGGTACCTTCAGATTGGAAGCATGCTAATATAATGCCCATATTCAAAAAAGGGGATAGAAGTAATTCAGCAAAATATTGGCCAGTCAGTTTAACTAGCATTACTGGAAAAATAATGGAAGCTATAATATATTGGATACAAATAACATTCTGAGGAATAGCCAACATGGATTTAGGAGAAGTAGATCCTGTTTAACGAATCTACTTGGGTTCTTTGAGGAAGCTACAAGAGAAATTGATCACAAAAAGGCCTACGATGTGATCTACTTAGATTTCCAGAAGGCCTTTGATCTTGTCTGCCACAAACAGCTCTTGCTTAAGCTCATAGCTGCAGGGATTTTAGGAACTGTAGCAGCTTGGATCGAAAACTGGTTAACTGACAGGAAGCAGCGAGTAGTTATTCGAGGCAGTGGACCTGTGTTCATAGTGGGGTACCGCAGGGTTCAATTTTAGGACCACTATTGTTCCTAATTTACATTAATGATATTGACACCAATACACATAGTAAACTGGTTAAATTTGCAGACACCAAGGTGGACGGTGTAGCAGATACTGATCTAGCAGCAGAGAGGCTACAACAGGATCTGGATTTAATTAGTGACTGGGCTGATACCTGGCAGATGAAATTTAACATAGATAAATGTAAGGTAATCCATGCAGGGAGCATAAATATAAAGTATATCTATTTTATGGGTTCCACTGAAATAAAGGTAGCTGATTATGAGAAAGATCTTGGTATGTATGTTGATGCTTCCATGTCCCACTCTCGCCAGTGTGGGGAAGCAATAAGAAAGACCAATAGGATGCTCTAGGTGTGTGCAGTTTAAGTCAAGGGAGGTGATGCTATGATTATATAATTCCTTGGTAAGACCCCACCTAGAATATTGTGTGCAGGTTTGGTCACCATACCTTAAGAAGGACATTGCTGCCTTAGAAAAGGTGCAACGGAGGGCTACAAGAATGATTCCTGGTCTTGAGGAATGTCTTATGAGGATAGGTTAGCTGAGCTGCAAAGGAGCCTCGAGCAAAGGAGACTAAGGGGGGACATGGTCCAGGTATATAAGATTCTAACCGGTCTGGATGATGCTCAGCCAAATGGCTACTTCAGTATTAGTTAAAATACTAGAACTTGTGGCCATAGGTGGAAATTAGTGGGAGAACATTTTAAAATGAATTTGAGAAAGCACTTCTTTACACAGCTTGTAGAGTATGGAATAGTTTTCCTGCTAGTGTAGCGCAAGCTAAAACCCTGGGTTCCTTTAAATCTGAGCTAGATAAGATTTTAACAACTCTGAGCTATTAGTTAAGTTCTCCCCAAACGAGCTTGATGGGCCGGATGGCCTCCTCCCGTTTTTAAATTGAAGTTCTAATGAACACATTTTAAAAGCCATTTTGCAAATATATAATGTAATTAATACACAGCAAAATGATATAATTGATGATAGCTATTTTATGTATATCAACTGATTAATCTGAAGATTCAAGTTAATACACTCAGTGATATAAAAAGTTAATCACCCAGATGAAGTGATGGAAATAAAATGAATATGCACGTGGTGAAAGGTCATGTGACTATCGCAATATATAAACACAGGTAGATCTTTGCCTGCTAAGGCATTGCTGCCTGACGTACCTTCTCCAGTGCCTACAGGTTGGCTTACTGCAGGAACATCAGCCGGGTACCACCATTCCTTGATGTTTCGCCCTTTTAAACCCGGAACATCTTCTGGTGGCGGGGCAGCGACAAGGACGTCTCCCAGTCACCCCCCTAGGTGCCCCAGTGTGTATCCCTCCTCTTCAGCCACAGCCAAAAGCTACTTTTCTCTGCCAGATCTTTGGTTGCTTTCCGAAGGCTCGCACCACACATGCCCAAGTCTCTCAGTAGGTGGACAGCTGATGTCCCCACAAAACCACGGCAGCCAACCTCTACCGAGTAAATAGTGGTTCTCCATTTTTTTCTTAGCCGGACAACTTGTCGGATTTAAGGTACCTCAGTTTAAATGGTCTTTATCTTCGTTCGCTTACAATTAGTACGAACTACCGTAAATCCGACAAATAATCCAACTAATCATGAAGTCCAATTCTAGCCCGGTTAATTGCCATTGTTAGCAATAACAGTTGATAACACATTAAGTGCGGTGCTTTACATATTAAACTCCGTAGCAACACATCCACAGATAAGTAGGACGGTATAGCATGTGCGACCGATTTAATGAGCCACAAATGAGAAGTAGTGCTTAAACAGTATAAAGCTACAACTTTCCCTTCTGTTGATAAAGGGCGCAGCCACCTTGGATTCTGAACTCAGGATCGTCTGTGCTGCTTCGAAATATTTCTTGGATCTCCAAGAAACGGGAGCGCATGTCGTCACTTCCGGCTTCAAAACTCCGGAATCCGACTCGGAATACGAGTTCCAAAGGCATATGGAACGCACTAAAACTGTCCGAAATGGGTTGACAGAGACATTTCAGGGATTTTGAATCATTCTGCGCTGCAGATGGGTTAATTGCGTTAATTTTAATCAGATTAATCATGATGATGGATTAATCTGCGTTAACCCGTTAATTTTGACAGCATAATTATAATATCAGATCAAACGGAAAACAGACTTGGCAGTATGGGTGTTGTGTAGTAATCAGATGGAAAGGCACAGAAAGTACTGTCCGACGGAGCACTTTATTTTTGCCAGCTGATAACTACACTCCTTTTTCTTCTACCCCCCTAATCTATAGTTGTTCTCTTTTTTTTTTTCTTTTTATACCATCTACAGGAGAAGAACTGTAACTTAATTCAAAACACAATTTCCCCCTTTGGAACAAGATGTGCACTTTCCCAAATGGTAACACCTTTAGGAACATGAAATAGCTGTAACAGGCTAAGGCAGGGTATATAACATCACACATGTCCAAGTAGAAAAAGTAAAAGTCTACACTGACTTTTAACGCTTACCAAAGCAGTGCACGCTGAAGATGGGTGACTGGGTTAGGATCAGACTTCCACTCCAGGTAAAGAAAGATGAACACAAGTTTAGCGAACCAAGGAACATGATACAGAGTTGAAGTCGAAACACATTTCTCCTGGAGGACTGCTAGATTTGGATACTGAAGTCCTGGCCGCTGGCAGCACATCCAATTTGGTTCTGGTTTTCCTTTTGAATAGAAGCTCTCAGGGCGCCACGAGCGTGATGGCACGATGCTGGAGTAAGAATTCCTGTGTATACTTTTTCCATGGCTGGTCCTCAAGGGTTGCTGACTGGAGGCAGTCCTTCAGTACATAGTTTAGGCATTTCCCATTTACTTGTGCGTAGTACACTAAGGTTCTGCAGTGTTTAATGTCTCGCATTCATAAGAATTCAGCAAACCCTGAAGAAAATTGTGGCTCATTATGACTGACAGTCTCACAGGGGTTACCATGTTGGCTGAACACGGTTGTGAGAAATTTTACTACTTATGCAGTGTTGATGGTACTAGTGAATGCTACTTCTGGCTACTTGCTATAATAGTCTACTAGAATTATAGCATATTTGCAATCCCAAGAAACGTTCTCAAAAAGGCAGACAATGTCAAATGCCACCTTCTCCCAGGGAGCACTAGGGAGTGACACTGGCTGTAGGGGAGTGCCATGTGTCCTAGCTGACTCGTCATGCTATTGGCAAAATTGGCAGGAGGTAATTATTTCAGTGGCGTATTTGTCCATTCAGGGCCACCAATTCAGGTCCCTCAGATGTTGCTTGGTCTTAACTATACCCTGGTGA